CACAAAGTAAGCACCATTATCCCATTTCACGGATGAGAAAAGTGAAAGCCAGAGAAGCAACCTGTTCCAGTTCAAACAACATCAAGTGATGAAGCGTCCATCTGGTAGACGCTTAAAGGGGACAGAAGGCCTGCTTCTCAGTCCGCACTGGGGAGTGCTAGCGAGATTTAAGATCTGCACTCCCGTTCCACCCATCTTTCTTTCTCCCCTCGGTGTGCCTGGAATGAGTTCGCACCCTGTGGCCTGGACCCTGTCCCGGCGTGGTTACTTTTCATCAGACACTGGAATGAGAATGCTGATGACATGATGCCATGGTCGTCCTGACAGGAAGCCGACGGGCAAACTGGAAGATGCCAGATGTAATCCTGTCAAAGTTTTTGACCTTTGGGGGCTCATTCTTAAAAACTGGTGTTCTTATTATTTTATTTCTTCCTTTATGTTTTTATATATTTTAAATTAAAACAAACTTTTTTTGAGTAAGGGTCTCACTCTGTCCCTCAGACTTGGCTGCAGTGGCACAATCATGGCTTATCACAACCTCGACCTCCTGGGCTCAGGCAGTCCTTCCACCTCAGCCTCCTGAGTAGCTGGGACTACAAGTGCGCCACACCTGGATAATTTTTTTTTTTTTTTTTAATTTTTTGTCGAGATGAAGTCTCAGACTCCTGGATTCAAGCAATTTCCTGCCTCAGCCACCCAAATTGCTGGAATTACAAGTGTGAACCACTGCACCTGGCCTCTTCTTTTTACATATTTATATTTATTAGTTGTACTCGCTAATTTTGAGGTTTGGTTATTATGTATGTGGGTTACATTTATCCATATTTACTGGGTTAGAAATTAAAATGGATACATTTATAAAATACTTACTTTGGCTCATTTAAAATCCATTACCTATTTTTATTAAAAAAAAATTATTTTTGAAAACACAGTTTTAGTGGAAAGGCGGCATTGTTTATTGTTTATCCAAATCTTGTTACTATCTGGCTCAAAAGAAGACAGCTGGATTCTCTATCTGCTCCTCATTCAACCTCTGGAGTATACTGGTTGTAGTAAATGAAGAAAAGTTGGTCTCATGCAGATGTGTAGGTGGCAAAGGAGCACTTTAACTCATTCGTGACCACTGATACAAATTTATGCCATTCCAAATTCTGTTCCTGGTCGCCGCTGACGTGAATTTACACCTTTGCAAACTCTGTCTCTGAAGGCTGCAACATTACTTCGTGTTACATTATCTTCGTGTTATTATATTTTGCTTGAAAATGAATAGTGAAGCAAGGAGAAGGTTAATTGAGATGACTGCCTGATGTCGACTGTGCAGTGGTGCTGTTGATCGATTTACGCAGTTGGTAAAAATTGCGAGTTGGTCATTATTTTGTGGCGATTAGTGTTGCACATTCGTATTTTGACATTTCAGGGCTTCACACTTCGATGTTAAAAATAATTTACGATAATTATGGGAAATGAAGAAATACGTGCTGATGAGATTTCTGAGGTCAAAGGTGAATCCAGTGAACTTGTTAGTGATAAAGAGACAGATAGAGATGTAATAATGCGATGTAAAGAAAGAAATATAATGCAGATTATCTGTGACGGTGAATCCAGTCCTGATGAGAACGAGTCGGACACTGAGTGGACAAAATATGAGCCAAACAGAAACTTAGAAGTGTTTATGGGTCATCCAGGTGTCAAGGTGTTTCCAAATGATCCTCAAAGTAGAAGTGAAGTTGTCAGACTATTTACTGAAGATGATTTTATAAAAATGAAAGTCAACTGAAAGTAACAGGTATTATGATCAAGTGGACCACAGATATCAATGTCCAAAGAAATAAAAAAAGAGGAGCAATACTACAGTGTCCATAGTGAAATAATGTCTGGCATTAAATATTTTGATGGGACAAATGAAGAAAACCACAATACACGATGATTAGTCAACACATCCGTGAAATGTGACACCTTTCTTTTAACAAATGATGACACGAAACGGATTCCTACAAATTTTGCAGTTTTCACATTTTTCCAATAATGCAGTAAAATCCAAGCAGATTATGTGAGATTGAACCGATCATAAATTATGTCTTAAATAAGTTCAACACAGTGTACAAACCTGAACAAGAACTTTCCTTAGATGAATCCATTATACCTCATCATGGAAGACTGTTTTTTCGGGTTTATAATCCAAATAAAAACACAAAGTATGGAATGCTAGTTGGAGTGGTATCTGAGACAAATGCTGGGTATGTCTGCAACTTTTGGCTGTATTATAAAAAAGTTAACAACTTAGAAAAGACTATTTCACTTGTGCTTAAAGACAGAAGTTTGCGGCAACCGGCTCCAGATTATTTTTTTTCCTGCTCTCAGTATTAGAAAAGTGAAAAATTTGCTGGTTGCAGATGTGTTAATAGCCTTTCCCAGATAACTGTGTACAGTAAGTTCCCTCCATATGAACGCTCTCTGTTCTGAGAGCATGTTCGTAAGTCCAATTTGTTTATAAGTCCGATACAGTGAGCCTGGGTACCCAACTAACACCATCGGCTCTATAGTATCGGCTATGTCACTGCCACTTTTACACTTGCTTCTGGAAATAAACATATTATACTACTGTACTCTATACAGTACCACTGTGCAGTAAAGTACACCAAAACACAACCACCTGTAGAGGATGTATGCACGTGACAACGTATGCCAACACGCGAACTGACTTAGGTGGGCAGGTGAACATATGTTTGTATCTTTGAAAATTTGCAACATGAAAGTTTGTATATAGGAGACTTACTGTATATTCTTCTTTGATATTACACTCAAAATTGGCAAAGGGTTTCAGAACCTAGGCTAGCCACAAACTAAAACCTGAAGCCATACCACTAAAATCTTTTCTATTTTGTGCGTAAAACCCATCATTCTCTCCTGGACAAATCTTTCCCCAGGCATGATTCTGTAGCATCACGCACTGGTCATTTGAAAGACACTGGCTCACCAAGTCACGGAGAGTTTCCAAATGTTGGGACATTTGTCCCCAAATACCAAAAGATCTCACCCACTAATAGAACCATGGGACCTAGCAGAAGAGTAATTACTGGGAAACTGCTGAGCTTATGATGCTGGGTCTAGACTTTCCTAAATTCTGGTTTTCATTTGAAAGTTCACATTTTTATCACTGGTAACAAATGCTGCTTTTCTTTTTTTCTAAAGTGACAAGTTTACTTCATCTACCTTCAAGAAAATACCTACCAACTACTGAATGGTTTGTCAGTTGTGCTTCTGAGTGAAATGGCTATCCATAATTTTTGAGCTAATTCAGCTCAAAGAACTGCTGAAGGGCCTGTCCTGAAGACAGTGATCGGACTGGAGCATGCAGCAAAAGTGCTTCCTGTGAGCTTCCTGTTTAATATCACACGGGATATCAAAAGAGTTGAGAGAGCAAAAGTAATTCATACAGCTTCATCAGGGACATGTTCTTTAATCCTTTTTTATTTTTTATTTTTGTAGAGATGAGGTCTCACTAAGTTACCCCAGCTGGTCTCAAACTCCTGGGCTCAAGTGATCCTCCTGCCTCAGTCTCCCCAAATGCCAAGATTACAGTCATGAGCCACCAAGCCTGGCCTTTATCAAGGACATTCTTAAGGGAAACTGGCATATGTATGTTTTAAACCATGAGTGCATGGTTTCATTGTACGGAATCCAATGATGACCACAACTCTGTGTGGCCACTTCCCTCTGTCCCTGCTAAAGCTTCAGCAAGTGTTTCCTGTCACTCTTGTACCCTCAGTGCACGTGTCACTTGTCACTGCACATGCCCTCTGCATGTAGACCTTGTGCAACCAGCTTGCACAAGTGGTGCTGCCCGGTAGGGCTGGCATCTCCTAGCCTGCCTTGCTTCAGTGTCATCCACCCGACTGTTTCCCACCCACAGGCACAGTGATGTGCACCCGGCTCTTCTCAACTAGGTGTGCCTTCCAAGCACTCTCTTCCCCTCCCATGCCAGGACGCAGAGCATTCTAAGACCCCAGGAGAAGATGGAGCCTCACAATGAAAGGCATTTAGTGTCCTGAATTATCTCATGGAAGAAAGCTTCTTTCCATCCAAGACCGCCCACAGTGGATGGTGACAGAGACAGAAATAGAATTTTATGGTGTAATCCACAGAATTTTAGAGTTTATTTGCTACAGCACCTTGTTTTACCTTCTACTGGGTGTGGTGGTTCATACCTATAATCCCAGCACTCTGGGAATCTGAAGCAGGAGGATCATTTAAGCCCAGGAGTTCACAATCAGCCTGGGAAAATATAGCGAGACCCTGTTTCTACACAAAATTTAAAAAAAAAAAAAATTTAGCTGGGCATCGTGGTATGGGTCCCAGCTACTCAGATGGCCGAGGTGGAAGGATTGCCTGAGCCCAGGAAGTTGAGACTGCAGTGAGCAGTGATTGTGCCATTGCATTCCAGTCTGAGCAACAGAGTGAGACCCTGACTCAAAAAAAAAAAAAAAAAAAAAAAGAAAAAGGAAAAAGAAAAGAAGAGAAAAAAAGAAGAGTTATCCTAAGTTCCATAGCCAAAACTTAAAGGGTGAAACTGGCTGCCATGGGCAGAATGAATTAGCAAGGCTGCAGCCGTGGGTGTGCATAGTCCAGGGAGGAGGCGCCCACATGTGGATGCTGACTGGAGAGGAAATAGACAAATTCTAGGCACTGACAGGCAGACAGGAGAGGTGCATGGAGGGAAGGAGGCTTGAGGGGAGAAGGGAGAGAGGGAGATGCTCTGTCCACTGCCTTCCAACCATGCCGGCATGGATGTCAGTCACTGGACGAGAAGCACCACGTCAACAAGGGCCAATCGGAAAGCCTGACTTTTTTTTCCCCAGTATAAATTTCTGTTGCTTAAGGATATAAAACACACACACACACACACACACACACACACCCCTGCAACCACATCCAACAAAATATTACGTTTAATAGCATCTGCTACCTAATCTATGTTTTTCCCCCAATTATCTTTAAAATGTTATTTAACAATGTATTTGTTGAAATCAGAATCCAATACTGTATTCTTATATGGTTCTTAATTCTTTTTAGTCCCTAATGATTCTCTTCGCCTGACACCTGCCTGCCATTTATTTCTTGAAGAAATTGGGCCATTTATTTTTGTAGAATTTCTCCCATTATGACTGTAGCAGATAGATGGATGCTGCTGACAAGTTCCTCTCTCCCACACATATCCTAGAACTTAGTTCTAGACGCTTGACTGGATTCCAGTTATTTTTGGCAAGAATGCTTTCCAGGTGACGTTGTGGACTTCCTGCTGTGTTGGGGATGCGTCACGCCTGGGTGTCCCTCCTTTGGTGGTGTTAAAATTGTTCAGTGGGTTGATCTACCAAATGTAAGTCACCACGTCAGCAGACATGAAGGTCACTGCCAAGACAGAGGGCTTTATTTGGTATTATGAAAGGTTGAGTTTTCAACTGTATCATTCTTCCTGCACTTGTTAGCTTTGACTTTTCTAAAAAGAACTTTCCCTCATCAACCCGTTGCTCACCCTGAAGTATGGACTCTAGAGGGAAGGCAAGATATATATTGTATCCTTTCCCTTTCTTGATCAAAGTTCACAATAATGAACTGATGCCCTGGCCACCTCCAGAAGGAACTAGTGGTATGGTAATAACCTCAGAGCTTGTACACACTAGCTGTGTTTCAATCCATTTTTCTTTCTGATGCTAGCATCATCCCATACTCAGGCTGTGGAAAAACCCTTCAATCTGACCCCTCTCTCCTTCTAGAAGTCTTTGACCACTTCATTTCTGGCACAAGTGATCCCAGATGCATCTCGTACCTCTCCTGCCCTACACCTGAAATCAGACAGTCAGATGTCACTCCAAGAAGCCCTGGTTTCTCTTGGTGGGGAATGGAATTCAGACTCCACAGCTTCCCAAGATCTAAAAAAACGATGATGGACATAAAAACTGAGAAAAAAAACCAAACCACATCAGCAAGAAAAAAACAAGAACAAGGACCCAAAGTGCAGGAATAAGAGGCTTTTCTGCACTTACAACTGCAGAGAGGGTCTCACCAGCCAGGACATGTCACAGGGAGAGAAAACTGTGTCTGCCTGGGGGAGAGAGTCAAAGGAACCCCAGCATGTCCTCTGGGTGGGAAATATGAGAGGAAAGCTACACTTAGCTCACATGTGCCGAGGGTAAGCATGCTGGGGGCAACCTGCACCCCCAGTGCATTTCTGCACCAGATGCTTCCCCACAGCCTCCAGAGACAGACTCAATCTCTCTGTGTCAATAAGGGAAACAGAGACTCAGGGAGATGAAGTGCCCTGCCCAAGGCCACACAGCCTGACACAGACCGAGAATCGAGCTCCGACTCCCATGTCTGGCGCTCTGCCTCTGATATTTTCATCCTCACCCTTGCCCTCACCTCTGCCTCCAGGGGCTCAGCTCAGCCTCAGTTTCTCCACCTGTAATATGAGAGGTTAAATTTCTGTTCTGCCAACACCACCACAGTACTTACCTCAGTGACACCAGACTTCCTTGGAGGGCATGAGCCATGACCTTCTCATTCACTCATCTGGTTGGCAAACGTCTATGGTGATGAACCATCCAGGCTCCATCCCTGTGAGAGGCAATTTTATGTGCCATCGTGACTGAGTTAAGGGGTGCCCAGATAGCTGGGACACGTGATCTTGGGGTGTGTGTGGAGTTGAGTCTGGAAGAGATGAGCATATGACTCAAAACCCAGGAATGGGGCAGTTGCAAACTGACTCAGAGGGCCCAAATAGGAAAGGTAGAAGAGGAGAAAAGATGTTCTGCTCTCTGAGCCAGGACGTCTGCCTTCTGCTAGACTCAGACATCAGTGCTCCTGGTTCTCAGACTCCCAGACTCAGACTGGGACTTACACCAACAGCCCAGTCTCTCGGGCCTTCATACTCAGATGGAATCACACCGCCACCTTCCTTGATTTTACAGCTCGCAGAGTGGGACTTCTTGCCTCTACAACTCGTGAGCCAATTTCTATAAAAATCGCCCATGTCTCTATCATCTGTCCTCTATCTCTCACTTTCTTAATCTATCATCTGTATATCTACCTGCTTACCTGTCTATCTATTCATTCTCCTATTGGCTCTGTTTCTCTGAAGAACACTGATTGACACAGTCCCTTCCAAGACTTAGAGTACTTGGTGGTATACTTAGAGTTATTCAGTACTCAGGATTTACAATACTTGGTGGTGTACTAAAGAATCCCTCAGTATTCGGGACTTAGAGTACTTAGAGACCTAGGTGGTGTACTTAGAGTCACTCAGTACTCTGGCTTCCCCAGCAGTCTGGGTCTTTGCAAGGGGAATGCACTCCTTTATTGGCCCATGGGGAGCACCTCCAGTACCAATGGGGCTGAACCACCTGAGGTCAACTGCGATAAAGACAGGGTTTGAGGCTAGCAGCAGCCAGCACACACAGGTTGGCTGTGGCTCCCCATCCCAGCCAGAGAAGACATCATACCAATCAGAGAAGCGATACCCAGTTATCACGCTTTGGGAAGTATGTGCACATCTCTTCCAGATGGGTGACACTGACCAGCTCTCCCACATAGCCTGGGTGTCCCACATGCATCTCTCAAAAGCCCATCCATCCAGTTCAGACACTGTATCAATGATGGAGACTTATCCAACCTAGGCATAAGATACATCCTAGTGCTGAAATGAAACACAACAGTCAGTCCACTCAGAATGTCTTGGCAAGCCCATTGCCACACGCAAACCCAGACTGTCAAGACTGGAATCAATACCTAATTTGTCAGTGTGTGGGCAGTGTCACAGAACAAAGAACGTAACCTCATGCTCCCATAAAATGCACAATTATGGTACCTACAAACAAACACAATAGGAAAAAACCAACCAACCAACCAACAAACAGAAAAACAGCCCAGAAAACATGTTCTCATACAATGGACAAAACAGGATGCCAGGGATTGATCTAAAAGATATACAGATTAGCAATCTGGCCAACAAAGAACTCAAAAGAGCTGCTTTAAGGAAACTCAGCAAACATCAAGAAGACACAGAAAAATTGAGAAATTGTTCAGATACATTCAACAGAAAAACTGAGAAAATCATTAATCAGAAATCTTAGAACAAAAAAGAACAATCAGTGCAATAAAAAATGCATGAGAGGGGATCAACAGCTCAAGACTTCAGCAGAAAAAGAAAAGTCAGTGAGTTGAAAGCAGACAATCTGAAAAAACATGCGTGAGAGGAAAAAAAAAGAATGAGCAAGGACAAAGACAACTTAAGGGTGCTATGAAATACCATCAAAAGAATACTTTGTGTTTCTGGCATCGACAAGACACTAGAGAATAGATGAAGAGTAGCAAGCTTACCTAAAACAAAGAGATATAAAACTTTCCAAATCTGGTAAAAGGTCTATAGGCCCCCTATGACCTGCATCCAGCTTTACCTGGATGCTCAGGTACAGAAAAACCTATAAAATTGCACCCAAATGAGAAAACTCCAACACACATTACGCTCAACCTCTCGAAGGTCAAAGACAAAGAGAGGATCCTGAATGAGTCGAGAGGAAAGCGGCAAATAATACATAAAGGAGGTGTGCTTTCTCAGCAGAAACACTACAGGCTGGGAGATTGGGGATGATATATATTCAGCATGCTGAAGGACAAAAAATCGAAGGCATGGGAGACAACAGAGATGTGGCCCTCACCATTGGACAAAAAAGTAGATTTGTGTCATGCAAGTGAGTTAGAAGTCACTGAAAAACAAAAAGATGTGGCCAAGAACAATGTCAAGTTTTTTTTGTTTTTTTTTAGTTGGAGTCTCACTCTGTCGCCCAGACGGGAGTGCAGTGGCCGCTCCCGCCACCGCAGCCTCGACCTGCTGGACTCCGGCAATCCTTCCAGCTCAGCCTTCCGAGTAGCCGGAATTACAGGCATGTGCTACCACGCCCGGCTGATTTTTTGATTTATTGTAGAGATGAGGTCTCGCTGCCCAGGCGGGTCTTGAACCCGCAGGCTCAAGTAATTCACTCACCTCAGCCTCCCAAAGGCACGGGATTACAGGCTGAGCCACCGAGCCCGGCTTAATGTCAAGTTTATAAAGAATAACAACAGGGCTACACCGGAGCAAAAAGGAATACGTCACATTCCCCTAAACTCAAAAAAAAAAGAGAGAAATGGGAAAAAAACCCTGAAAACATGAAAAATGACTTCTCTAAACACACCAAAAATAAATAGACTGATTTGGGCATAAATATTGACCTTGTGCTTTTGAGCCCTGGGGCACAGACACCAGTAGACTGCAAACATTCAAGGTTGTACCAGCACAAGCATAATGAGAGTAGAAATTCCAAAGTTCTGTGTCTAGTGCCTTGTGCTTTTGAGATGGGGCCCAGGCACATCTTTGGATGGGAACTACACAGTGCCCAGGCAGAGCCAGAACATGGGGAGTTCCTTCCCGCTGCAATCCACAGACTCCTTACCTGTAGGCGGGGCTGGTGGTTCCAGGCTTACCACAGCTGGGAAAGGGCCAGGGGCAGCAGGAAAGTGGGATGGAGAGGGGGTCGGAAGTTGAGTCTTTGCTCAGAGTTTATCTAAGAGAGAGAGAGAGAACTTTACTCGAGATCCTGCTAGCAGTTTTCTCTCCTGCTGCCCATCAGGATTCTGGCTATAGTTCTTTTTTCATTTATTTTTATTTCTAATTTCCCCAAACCAAGCCTGTGAAGTCATCACCCAGTTCTTGGCTGGCAACAAGGTTGCTACTACTTGGCCCTACATCTGCTTTTGTTCCCAATTTCCTCTGGCCAGGCAGACTCTGGGAGGTCTCTGGGAGGGAAGAGGAATGTTCACTTGTGGTACCTGCCAGCTGGGCACACGCAAACTTTCTTATCTATAGGCCCCCTATGATGTGCATCCAGTTTTACCACCCACCCCCCAGCCCACCCTTTGAAGATTTCCATTCTTTTTTTTCTTTTTTTTTTTTTGAGTTGGAGTCTCACTCCGTCACCCAGGCTGGAATGCAGTGGCACACTCATGGCCACCCCAGCATCGACCTGCTGGGATCCGGTGATCCTTCTGCCTCAGCCTTCTATGTAGCCGGAACTACAGGTGCGTGCTACCACGACTGTTAATTTTTTTTTAATTTGCTGTAGAGATGAAGTCTCGCCAAGTTGCCCAGGCTGGTTTCAGACCTGTGGGTTTAGGGAATCCACTTTTCCTTGGCCTCCCAAACTACTGGGATTACAGGCTGAGCCACCACGCCCAGCTTTCCATTCTTTTCATTCTCTTGGTGAGGATAAGAGGACAACATGAGCCTACAGAGAAGACAGAGGTCCTTACCCAAAGACCTCCACTGCTGCATCTTTACCTGGCAGTCAGAAGCAGCTCAGTACTAGAAAGAACTCTGTGTCCATGGCAACCCGCAAACAAAAGATGCTGGTTAGTATGGCAAAGAATGACCATTAAAGAGTAGGGAAATAGAATGTACTTGGTCCAAGACCACAGAGGCTTAAAAACAGTCTCTCCTTAGAGATAGCTCTCCTTAGAAATGGGAGAGTGGGGACTGCGGAAGGAGAATGAACCAGGATCAAAGACCCCAGGATAATCACCACAAGACAGAGTCTAGCTCCCCGGTTTTGTCTTGGTCCTGGCTTTTACATAATGGAGGGCCTTCTTCTTATTGATTCTGATGAAGACAACATGAACCATTTGTCTTTTTTGGGTTTTTTTTCAGGTTGGCACAAATGATTAGAGGGCTCCAAGTTTTTTGAACAATAATAAATTTGAATAAAATAAGCTAGGGAAATATTCATTGACTCAAGCCATAACTTCCTAGGATTGGGAGGAAACCATCACATCTTTGTCAGTTAAAAATACATTCATATTTCTAGCTGAGTAAACATGAAGGGTGAATGAAATGCCATATCAGTGAGAGAAAGCATTAAAAATGTAGATGAAACTAAAAAATGTTGAAACATCTGAGTAGCGATGACAATATACAAATTGCCACAAAGTGAGAAAGAAGCAGAGAAGGAGCAGTTTTCTGTGTGCCTTGGCACGTGATCTAATGCTGAGAAAATGGTAACAGCTGAAGACATGGGGGGAGAAGCTTAAATTCCTGTTTATTTAGTAATGCTGTAAAGCACTGTGTAAGACTGCTTCCCTAAAGAGTGACAGCCTCTTGAAATAAATAATAAGTGGTTTGGAGCTGCTAGAAGTTTCAAAAGATAAAGCCCATTGATTTGGCAGATATAGGATAGTAGCTAAAGTGTGAAGTAGGATTGATTGATATCTTCTGTGTGACAGGTGCAATGGATGTGTGACGGTGTTCAGAAAACCACTTATACTAATGATGAAGTGCTTTGTGTTTTACAGCTGTGACCCAGGCACATCTTCAGATGTGAACCAGGTCAGTGACAAGGCAGAACCAGATTTCTGGGGTTCGTTCTTTCTGAAAGCCTGAGCCCTTCTTACCTGTAGGCATGACCTTGGTTTCAGGGAAACCAAGTTGGGAAACACAGTTGGGAAAGTGCTGGGGGAAGCAGCGACCTGAGATGGGGAGGGAATTGGTTTCTGTGTCTCTGCTATGATGAATATTCAGGAATAAAGTCAATTGATGTAGACCATACAGGGTCGTTGCTGAGTTTTGGAAATTGTGTTTATTGAGATCCTCTGAGTGACAGACGCAATGAGATGTATGATAATGGTACTGAAAATCCACTTACGGTAATGTTGCACCTATGCTGCTGATACATATACAAACTTATTTTCAATTTAATATTATTCACTTTTTATTTTAAAGATATGGGGTACAATTCAGGATTCGGTATACAAGTGGTCATCATACAGGTAAAGTATGGGCCTCCCTTTGGTCTCCACTTGGCCTGGTTTGAGAACAGCTACCCTTAATTGATGTGTTTCCCCCACTCCACCCCTACCCAGGCAGTATCCTGCTACTGCCAAAACCTTACTTATGGCATTATGGCAATTGTTCAGGGGTCCGCTTATGAGAAAGAACATGTGGCACTCTGTTCTTTGTTTCTGTGATAGATCACTGAGTATGGTAGACTAAATCCATCCAAGTTGTGCAGGCTTATTCTTAAGGTCATGTGAGAATATCCAAGGAAAGTTTGTTTTGTTTTTTCTCACTCTGTCGCCCAGGCTGGAGTGCAGTGGCACACTCATAGCCACCCCAACACTGACGTGCTGGGTTCTGGCGATCCTTCTGCCTCAGCCTTCCAAGCAGCCGAAACCACAGGCACGCACTACCACGCCTGGATAATTTTTGATGTATTGTAGAGACGGTCTCACAAGTTGCCTGGGTTGGTCTCAAACCCACGGGCTCAGGAAATCCTCTTGCCTTGGCCTCCCAAAGTGCTGGGATTACAGGCTGAGCCACGGAGCCCAGCCCAAGGAAAGTTTTTTACATTGAAATGGAGCAATAAAATCCACACTTTGTCATTACTTCAAGAATGTGCCCAAATAAGAGCCTCTGGGTAGTCCATATGCAAACGCAAACCATTTCCTTTGACTTTGTTTCCAAGCAACCAAACTCTTTTAAGCATTTGACATTTACTTGTGCCATTCCCAGATATTTAGGTGGTTATGTTGTTTTCAAGCTTTGAAGGGCACAATATTTACAATTTTGAAAATTAGGAACTTCAAGTATAATTTATCTTTCCAAATGGAATTTGACATCTAAATGCTTTTACTTTTACATACAGAATATGGGGTGTTTTTTTACTCTCACCCCTTGCCATCTGGCAAAAATGAAGACCCTCTTCTTCTGTGCAGGAGGACTCCTCACTCAGAAAATGAGGGGTTTTTCTCAGTCTACTGAATGGCAGGTTTGGGGGCACAATACTGGTGGAGAAAAAGCACTTATTTTCTAGATTGAAAGACGAATCGTGATATGGAAAGAAAGAGGAGAAACACTCCTCAGAACACTGAGTACGTGAAGCTCAGTGCCTCCAGGTTTCAGCTAACTTTCTTTAGAATATCACCGCATGAAGAGATCTTTATCTTTTCACATAATCCAAGTCTGTTTCTCTATTCCTCTTCGTTAAACTTCTCTTGTGCATAGTACCTTAACTATAATTAGTGGATCAATTATACTCTTTGGTTTTTCTTTCTCTTTTGGGCGGTGGGGGGTGGGAACAGTGTCTTACTCTGTCACCCAGGCTGGAGTATAGTGATACTCACCACACGTCTTTGAAACCCAAGGCTTAAGTGATCCTCTTACTTCAGCCTCCCAAGTAGCTAGGACTAAAGGTACACACCACAATACTGGGCTAATTAAATTATTTTTATAGAGACAGGGTTACTGATATGTCACCCAGGCTGGTCTCCAACTCCTGAGCTCAAGGGATCCTCCTGCCTCGACCTCCCTAAGTGCTAAACTTACAGGCATGAGACACCATACCTGGCCTCCTTGACTTTTTTTTACTGCAGTTACAAAATATAACTACAAAGGTTCTCTCCCTTTCCTGATGCCAGCTTTACTTATATACTTTCCAATTTTTTACTGAGTAAACCATTAATGGAAGTCCCTTGCCAGCAAAAGTAATACTGTAACAACTTTGAGATTAGAGAACTAAAACATATCTTCTCAACTGGTAAGCTTGTGAAATCTCTAATATAAAAAACAGAGATTCCCAAAACCATGGCCCCTTTTCCAGATGTGTGAGGAAAAGCAATGGTAAAGACCTGTTTATTCAAGTAATGCCTTTCATCGAACAAAAGAGAACAAACAAAAACAGCTGCCATTCCCATCATGCACCTGATGCCATGACAGTACCAGTTTGACCCTAGAAGGCCGAAACTCCCCCACTTGATGTAAGAGAGGAGTAACAGAGACCCAGACCACCCACTTCAAGGAAGAACCCACCCCAGTACACATACTGCTCAACAATAGTTAGGGCACAGCAGCAGCCTTCCTGGGCTGTCCCCGCCTGCTCCCCTCTCTAAGCGTATATGCGTCTTTACTCAATAAAGCTCCTTGCTGATCCCTCTTCTCTGGTGTGTCTGCAAATTCATTCCAAACGTGAACACGAGAACCTGTCGTCAACCCTCTCATGCTGGTAGCAGCACCCCGTTTCCCACTAACAGATTTCTGGTGATCACAAAGGGACACAGCAAGTGGGAGTTCTCCAGCCACCGGTGAGTCTGGATGCTCACCTGCTAGGCTTGAGCATTTTGCCTCTTTCTGCCACTGTCAGCTTCTCTTCCCGCTTGCTCATTGCCTCTCAACCGCTGCTGGCCTCACACTTCCCTTTCTCTACCAAAGAAGCTGGAGTGGAGGAGGTTGAGAGTCTTCTGCACTATGAGTGGCTAATAGTGTGTGGGGGGGTTCTTCTGCTTCTTTCTCTGTCCCTGGGTCTCCTCACAAACATCCTGGGGCACTGCTGATAAACTCCTCTCAGCTTCACACTCACTGCTCACTCCAGCTAAAACTTTGTTTCAGCTCACCTTGAGGGGTGACTTGTGAAGGTGGTGGGGCTTCTAGCCTGCACTGAGCAGAACTGAGTTTCTGGAGTGCACCCTGACAGGAGAATTGTGAGAGTGGCCAAGGCTTGCCCCTGCACCACGCAGTGCC